ATGTTTTTATATATAACAGAAGAAAGGCAGCAAAAGAGAAAATTTGATACCCACAAAGATACTAAAAATAGAGCACTTTCAGTTGAATCATACATCATTTGATGAAACTAATTAGAAAATGTTTAGAAAGTGCTCATATTTCTGGCACTATGGTAAAAGACTTTCCAGTTATATAGTTACAGGATCTGGGCTCATTGCAATCAACAAGAGCTGTATACACAGACATTGTTCTTGGGATGGCTTAAAAACAACTGGTTCATTCAGAGTTTTGCTTCAGGATTTTTGTTTTTCTTACGCTACTAAAATCACTGATTTCTGCTCCACTGTGCAGTGCACGCACAGAAGTCAATGCTGTTTTCGTTCTGCACTTTACCTGTGGGAGGAGGGTCAATCTCCATGACCCATTCCACCCACGGTATTTCAGTCAGCACTGGGCAGCAGCCTCATCATTCCCGCTGTCTGAATTCAGGGAACTCAAAATTGTCACTGGATTGAAACATTCAAGATGTAGGAGGAAATGGGAGTTGTTGTCTTCTGGCTTAACTCAGCATGGGCTCATGCCTCTAAGTGCTATGGCAGCAGTCTCATGGGGAGAGGATATGAGTCCCCACTTCAGAACTGAAGATAAATAAACGGCATTTTGGAGAAAGAGCTTTGTTGTGGGCAATCCCCTCTCGCAGCAAGGCAGTTAGGGCAAAGCCTATGAAGTCAAATTTATGTGCACGGCGAAGGAGAGTACTCAGTGTTCGTAGTCAAACTCTGAAGAAGAAAAGGAAGTCAAGCAAACTGGACCTGGAAAACTCTGCGTATACATTAAAGACAGATTTATTCACAGTAATATCCAGTGTAACAGTGCTCTCAGGGTAGGGAGGAAAGTCACATACGGCTGGTGATCTGCACAAAAGCATAAGCCCTCTGTCTCCATGTTCTTAGCCCCTAGGTGAGCCTACAATGAGACCGTGTGGATTCACACACCACAGGAAATTCCCATCTTGGAGAAGAGCTGGTGTATCACAACGCTGCCCTGGACATGCAGTAAGGTAAACATCATAGGGTCTGCTCCGAAAGTGGGATTCACTGGCTTGAGAAAAGGATGAAGCCCTACTCTGCTAAATGTTTTACGTGTCCTAGAGGAAATGAAAAAAATGAAGAATTCATAGTAAGCATTGCCTGAAGAAAGTAGTTTCTAGTTTCATTTACCTTGCTGGCATAATTAGGTACAGTTCATATTCCCCAAAGAAATTGTGTGGAAACAAGTAGTGCAAGAAAAGTAATGAAATAGCCCCATGATTAAATCTCTGCCAGGTACCTCCACACCAATTTTTCATGTTTTCACCTCCTAGAAAGTATTTCTTACACCTTGGGGGAATCTTCCACATATTTGTGGATTAATCAGAATCTCTTCTAGTAGCATTCATCACTTTGCAATGATTTGTTTTTAATATGTCAGCTGGCAGCACCACCTTTCAATGCGAAAAACATTGCTGTAGTACAGCTATTGACCGGCTAAATTCTAGCCAAAATCATGTGCAATATCTTAATTTAAGAGTGTAAGGTGCAAACTTTGCCATTCAGTGAGAAAAAGAGCAGAGAAGGAATAAAATCATGTTCATGTTTTGCATTTTTATTGTGCTTTGTATGCTCAAAATGCCATATGGGATTTAGCCATTAATCCTTTCACTACCAGCACGAGAAGGATAAATATCACTTCCTCTGTGACCAGGGAAGTGGAGATGCAGGCAGACACGTTGTTTGCAAGAGGCTTGAGCACACGCAGGCTCCAGCAGGAACTGCATGTGTTTAGCATCTTACAAAATGAGAGCTGTGGCTGGCCACTGAATCACTCACTAATGAAGCCAGAATGCGACTGGCCCAGCGCTTGAAAAATCACATGGGCCGCTCGGCTTGTACAGTTTCTATGTGTGTCATCCTCCAGGTAAAGGCCTTTGACTTCTGCAGAATTCGAGCTTTAATTGAAAAAGTGGTGTTTTGAACGCTGTAGTTACCTGGATGCATGGAGGGTAACTTGACCTGTTGCCTCCCTTGCTGTGCTGAGCTTCCCCAGGGCGTGCGACACCAACCCTGGGTAGAGCAGAGCAGCGGTGGGACGCGTCCCGGCACTGCGGTTAGGCCGTGGGGAAGCTGGCGTGCCAGGGCTCCCCTTGCACAGGCAGGCGCGTGAGGCGGGGCCTGTGTGGAGACAGGACCTTGAGGAAGGAGGAAGGAAACTCTTCACTTGGGTCTGCTTGCCATAAACCAGGAAACACAGTAACTCGGGCCCTGGATCCATGTCAGGGACCGAAGAGTGGAAGGAGTCCCAGTGGCTGGTGAAAAAAGAGAGACCATTTCTCACTCAGATTTTGCCATGAATGCAACCTCTTCTGATGGTCTTCGGCTTAGAGGTGTCAGAGGCCAAAGACATGAGAGTCATAATTTGAATGTGCGGGAAGGAGAGTGGAAAAGCAGAAGCAGCTGATAGCACACTTTCTTTCCAGCTTGTTAATAAAAGACGTGGGAAAGAGAGGTGAGAAATATGAAGCAAGAAAATGTCAAGAAAGATAAAAACATGTTAGGAAAGAGACAAGGGAAGATGGAGAAGCAAATCTTAAGAACGACTCATTTTCAGTGACAACAGTGGGGTGAAACTTAGGAGGCAATGAAGATGGGAACATGAAAGGTAGATTAAGTAGGTAGTCATTAAAATACATGAATGAGAAGATATTAGCAATATGTATCAGGATGCTGTAAACAGAATACCCACATGGCATCTTGTCAACAGCAGTGGTCTAGAGTGGGAAATACACTCACACCAGCAGCTCAACATTATTACTGCTTGGCTTAGTTAATACAACTCTGATAAACATTATTGTGCCGGACAATGAGAAACATGTTATATTTGACAGGGATCAAAACAGATTCAATGAAAGAAACAGATCCATTTAATTAGGACAATGTTCAGCATATTTTTTTGCAACCTCAAAGAATGTCTGAAGCAAAATTAGATTGGATGGCACATACAAAAGAGAACCTCACCATTTTCTTGTTTTTTTGCCAGCAATATGTAGAGTGATTATTTCTTTTCTCTTTCGCCATTCCTAACGTTTCTCAGTCTTCCCATTTCTTTCCATGCTCTTATTTTCTTTCTCCATCACTTTCACCATTTTGGGGGCCAAAACTGCAGTCCGTAATTCAGGCAACACACTGAAAATTTTACATGAAGAGTGGAATCAAGTTCTTAATTCATCTGATGTCAGCTCTCTTTTTCCTCCATGATCTTAATCACTTTTTTTTTTTCTTCCCCAGAGTTGGTATTTCTCAGCTTACGGGTAGTATTTGCTGGCACATTTACTCTTCCTTTTCTGCTCTCGCCGTTTCTCCGCTGCGTTTATTCTTGGGCGCTCTTCGGCATCTCCATTGGAACGCCGCGGGTTGCTTAGCAACGCGCGCAGCGACACCAGCAAGGTGAGGTCCGGCTCCCACAGCCCTCACCTGGCAGCCCGCAGAAACATCACGGAGCCTCACGCTCCCGCGGGCTTCCTGTCCTCAGAACAGCGTTATGCCAGCATTCCTCTTGCCTCAATCAGATTTCCTTTTTCTACAGAAGCTAAGTACATGTCAAATACAGAGAACACAGAGTCCAGGAGGATAGGTGGCTCTTCCAGTTTTGCTCTGACATCAGTAGCCTGTTGAGATAACCAGAAAACTAAAATAAGAGATTACATTTTAGATACTGCCTTTCCCAACATTCAGGTCTAAAACCTCCTTTAACAGATGATCAAACAGCTATACACAGTTATGAATGCAAACTTCATAAAAGTTGGAAGAAGTCTGGATTGTGAGAGTTGATTTGGCCATAAGTCACAATCCAGATATTTCTAGTAAACATCCAAATTTACTACAGGCTTCTCCCTTGTCATAGCAGAAGAGAAAAAGAACAAATTGAATATTTTATATTTCTTTTTATTTTTTATTTGCAATTGTTTTGGACAACTTAATCAACATTATTATGTAGAAAAGCCAAGAATTGTTGTTCCTTACCAGTCACAAATTGATATTGATTCCAAATCATGGAAGAAAAACTGTATAATTAAAATATCACTACGCATCATGCAAAAAAAAATCAGGAGTTAATCAAAAAACATGTTTTTTTTCCCACAAAATCACTTTTTCAGAATAAAAGTTTTGATCTTGGTTAATATGTTCTATTTTTGAGGGGAAAATGGAAAACCTTTTTTTTTTGGTTTAAAATACTCTTAAAATTTTAACCAAAATATTTCTTAAGTTCCTCTTTTTTTGAAAACTTCGAAAATTTTGAACTTTTATAAACACATTTTCCCAGAATTACTAAAAACTTTTAATGAAATATCAATACCTTTCCCAACAATCTTGAAAAAAATAACTTATTCAATAAAATTGTATGAAGCTTTCACCCTAGCTTCAGAAATAAGCTAATTTTCAAATTAGCAAGCCCCAGCACTGGACTGAGAAATGCTGGCTTTGGATTTATAACCTATATGTGTAAGAACCAGAGAGGAACAGCAGTGCGCTACCTACTATTACGTCTGGATCTTGGAAATGGATTCCGTGACCGTTAGTCATACACAACTTCCATTAAGTCTTCCATTTCATTGGGCTTTTGCTCAGGCCCTGGGATCATGTAATGTGAACCCTAGAGACAGATTTATTGAGCACGCTGTGGTTGCAATGAGTAATACTTCCTCACCCGAATAAGGCATTGAATTTTTTTAAGGCCTTGTTCAGTAGCCCTTACTCATACTGAGTAATACTCATTGCACCGAGAGTCCTGTTGTGCGTGTTAATCATGGAAAGCGCTGATGAACTGCTGAGCCCAGAATAAAAAACAACTCATCTGAGTATGGCAGTTTTGCCCCTCATATCCGTGTACCTCTTGACACACGAAAATCCGCTCTTGTTTACTGATAACCTACTGAACTTTGCCATACTTGCAGAGCATGCAGTTATTGTGCTGTATATTTTTCTTACAGGAATCAGTATGGCACCAAGGAACAGCAAACCTGGATCCATGCTCAAACTAGCTTTAGGCAGTATAATCATTAGTGCTGAAACTACTTTTAAAGACAGTATACTCATCTGTATACTTTTGCTATGAATAAATCCATAAAGCACAACTCAGCCAATGTGTGAGATACAATTCTAACATCTGAGCATTGAACACCAAAAAAAATGTGTCAGTCAAACACCAGCACAGCCTAGTATTCTCTAATGCTGAACCTCTTTTGGAGAGAATTTCTAGTTCTTGGAATAAAAAAGAAGCTGTAATACAGTTGAAGCATATAAAAAGAAAATGGAAAACAAAAAAAAAGCCCCCTTTTTAAGTATCCCTAACTTTCCAACAAACATATGTACCTAAATAAAGTCAGGATAACTTACCAGGAAATACTACTAAAAATAGTTAGCAAAGGAAAACCACTATTATTTATCACTCTTCTTTCCTCCTGCTTTTTTTAACCTTTAATCTTCTTTAACCTATACGCAAAGGGAGCATAGTTAATGATGCTAACAGCAGATGCAGGAAGGGCTGAGGAAAGCTCATGGTCAGTACAAAGCATTTCCACCATGACCACTCCAGCCTTTGAACACTGGCAGTTACTTCACTATTAACTCAGGCCAGCCCTGTTTAGAAAACCCAGAATATGCCAATAAGCCAAACTTGTACTCTTTACAGGACAAACCCTGCTGTCACCCCACTAAAACCCCATGGTTCACGGAGACTAGGAGGTTCAGGTTAAACCTTGAACCTGGGCTGATCTCTGCGCCCTGCACTGTGCCTTAAATCCCTCTTTATGGAACAGGGACACCAGGTGCCTTCTCTCTGTGAAGGCAACGTGCTTAGCCCTAATCACCACTGAAATCTAAGGAAATATCTTCCCTATCTACTTCATCTGTGTGGCTGGTGCTCCCTGAGCACATTTCTGATTTCTGTACTCCAAACTCAGGTTGCTCCTTTGTCTTTTTTTAATGTCAATTGCTGCTTGTTGTTTTTTCTTTTTTTTTTTTTTTTTAAAAGTATTTTAGATTTTAAACAGATGTTTTAATAGTCGCTCTGTTTAAAAACTTTGTTATAGCAAACCTGTAAGCAAATCTATCTCTCTTCTATCACGCTTTGTAAGTAAAGCAGCAAACTACTCCATACATGGCAGTTGCTATTTGTGACATCTGTATTCAAGCCGATGGTATTCAAGCCACATTAGAAGACACATTTTGTACCAGTTCTAGTGTTTTGGGCAGGTGTCAGTAAGAAGTGCCAATGAAAGCTCTCTAGTAATTGAACTGTCTTGTTCCAGACAGTAACTTAATTCTCTGGCTTGTTTTTTTTTTTTTCAGGAGAAATCACTGGTACATCACTGGTAAAACTAACATAAGGAAGAAAGAGAATCCAAATGTGTGTTTTAAGCTTAAATTTAAGCGCAGGCACAGGCTTGCTAGATGAAAGCAAGTACTCTGTACCATACATTACAAAGGCAGCAAAATATAGGGGAAAAAAAGAAAAAAAAGTCGCTAGCTCTCTGCCTAAAATATCTTGTTAACAAGAAATGCTTTCCTGGCATAGTGGCTCTTGCACACGCTCCTTATTTCCCATGCAGAGCATTTATCTTTGGGGAGGGTGTTACATTAGCTTTACATTCTCCCTGTAGCCTTGCCTTTCAGTGGGAAGAGGCTTATCTGTCACACAGGGCATGCGAAGCAAATAATTGCTTTCGAACATGTCTCACTTCTGCACAAAAGAAGTCTTGCAAGGCAGAACATGTCTCAAAGCAAGGAAGACAAAGTGGGACTCCCCATACATCAGCTAAACAGGGGAACATGCCCTTCAGATCAATAGGTCAAACGAGCATTTCTGAAGGTGACCGACACATACAGCATGCACTATTTTGTCCTGAATTTAAAAAAAAAAGAGATAAAAAAGATAAAAAACCTTGACGTACCTAGTTCTTAATGGAATTTAATCCTTCCAGACTTTTCATCCACTCATTTCAATCAAATGTAGGGAAGAAAACAACATTACAAATACATCAAATAAGCCCCAAGCAAGTTCATGTGTTCCTAGCAAATTAAATACACTGATGTTATTGAAGGAATGAGCACTCTTCTTTCAAACCTTTCTCACTTAACGCAGATTTTGGTTTCAGTAACCTCAACTGGAATAATCATGTCTAAGGCAAGTGATACAGCTTTTTATAAGGCTGAAGAGTTAGAAGTACACAACAAATAGCATTTCAGACTATGCAACTGTCTGTTCAAACAAGACAGTACAAATCTTGCAAGTTTTTCTCCCCTGCACTCTTGCAAGGTGGCAGCTTGACCTAGTTCTGGACCTGCCATTCCTCCCTTCTTGCCACGCCAAAGCCTTTCGGCGAACAGACAAAACGAGGCACCACATTGCCAAGTCCTCAGCAAGTGCATTGTGTCTGCGTCGCTTTTGAGGAACGCACTTTCGCTGTGCTACTCTTAATGTATCTCAACGAGCAGGCTGGATCGTGCCTGGTCCACAGCCACCCGACCTCACATGGATGCGACAGCCAAGATACCTGTAGCCCCTCAGAGTACCTCCAGCATGGGGTGGCTCTCCACCCATCCCGCCCCCATGTCCGTGGCATTTTGCTTTATACCTAAACTATACTGCAAGGAAAGGGCCTGGCAATGACCATCCTGTGAGGAATTTGTGGCTGGTTTGCAAGCGGGAAGCTTGGCCAAACCCTTCACTCCACCCTGAGGGAAACAGATTCACAAAAGGCTAAAGTGGCTCCAGAAAGAAAACCTCTGTATTAAAAGCCAAGGAATGCAGAACGACAATAATAAACACACACTATCTCAGCCGGTAAATACAGTGTAAAAGGTTCATTAAAGTTCAACTTCAGCAATAACAATATATTTACTGTTCCGGCTCTTAACCTTGCTCTCCCCCACCAAAAAAAAAATGGTAATTAAAAAAAAACGCTCAAAAAAGCTACTCTGATTACAATCAATGCGATTGATGGGAGAGAGAAAAAGGGAGGGTGTCTTTTATTTCCTGCGGGATTTTTTTGCGGGGGGGAATCTCTTTTTTTACTAAAACGTTCGTTTAAAACGGGTAGTAAAGATACAAAACGCGCACACAGGATCTGGTCGTTTCCCGGCGCCGAGGCCGCGCTGCTCCCCTCAGACCGGGACGGAGGGGAGGGGAGAGGGGCAGCGCAGGGGGCGCC